GGGTAGAGCCAGAAGTAGATGCCAGCTCTGCAGGGCCCGTGCTCTCTTGGAGGTTACTTGGCTCCTGCAGGAATTGAATTTGGACTCCTTCCTCATCGAGGTGCATGAGGAGGGCCTATCAGGAGGAAGTGCAGCTGTTAGATCACATCATGTTTTGCAGAATTTTGTTTTTTTTAGGATGTGAATCCAAGGCAGAGGTTAGGCCCCAGCCTGGGCCCCTAGGCCCTGCTTTCTGACTCTCTTTTTCTATGCAGGTGGCGCTGCTGCCGGATGGGAGAGCCCAGGCCCCTTGGATGAAGTGGCTGCACGCACCATGTCATCATGTGTCACTAGCCAGCCCAGCAGTGACCCGGCCGCCCCCCAGGATGAGCTGGGGGGCGGGGGCAGCAGTAGTGAAGGCCAGAAGCCCTGTGAGGCCCTGCGGGGCCTCTCGTCCTTGAGCATCCGCTTGGGCATGGAGTCTTTCATCGTGGTCACCGACTGTGAGCCGGGCGGTGCTGTGGACCTCCGCCTGGCCAGGGACCAGCCCCTGGAGGCCGATGGCCGAGAGGCCCCCCTCGATGCTTCGGGGCCCCAGGCCCGACCCCACCTCTCAGGTCGCAAGCTGTCCCTGCAGGAGCAGTCCCAGGGTGGGCCGGCGGCCAGCAGCAGCCTGGACATGAACGGCCGCTGCATCTACCCGTCCCTGCCCTACTCGCCCGTCAGCTCCCCGCAGTCCTCGCCGCGGCTGCCCCGGCGGCCCACCGTAGAGTCTCACCACGTCTCCATCACAGGGATGCAGGTGCGTGAGCTGCCACCGCCGTGTCTGGGTCAGCTGGGCATCCCAGGAGGATCCCGTGCAACCGTGGAGCTGGAGGGAACCCCAGGAAACTGGCAGGGTGGTGGGGAGTGAGTCCGCCTTGCAAGGAAGTCCGCAAAGGCGCGCGGGCAGCGGCCTTGACGCTTCGGGGAGCCCTGGGCACACGGAGCCCAGCAGCCTCAATGCCCAGCCTAGGGTGAGGGAGCCCCAAATGCTCTGCCCAAGCTGCCATCCGTCCTTGTGAGGAACGCTGGGGTGGGAGGCCACCTGTGTGAGGGTGACCAGAGCATCTCCAGAGCCAGGGGGTCTCCTGCCAAGTGAGGCAAGGGCTGGGGGTGCGGCTCAGCACTAGAGCGCATGCTCCTGCCCGGCTCCAGCCCCCGCCGCAGCACCAGAAAAGAAGAAAGATGGATGCAGGTGCTGGGGGTTGGCAGGTGTGCAGGTGCACAGAGATGGCAGTCCCGAGAGAGAACCCTCATGGCGACCCCCTGCCGCATGGTTGAGGCAGAGCCTTTTCTCCTAGGGTCCTTACCATCGCTTCTGGGAGGTGAATCCATACTCACATCCCACCGCGTTCCCGGGGCCTGTGATCTGCCCTCACCCTTCTCCTGCCCTCTGCTGCTGGCTCACCAAGGCCAGCTCCATCCAACGACCTTGTCAGGACTGGGGTCCCCTCCAGAGCAGCCCAGCCCTCTCTCCTGTGGCCCTGCTTTCTCTCCTTCCTGTGCTCCTCAGCCTCTCATGACCTGTGTGTTTCTCTGGTTGTTATTGCCTGTCTCCCCCAGGCTGGAGCCGCCGCTCCCTGAGAGCTGCCTCCACACCGCTGTGTCCTCAGCAGCTGGCCCAGGCACTGGTGCACAGGAGGAACTTGAACATAGCATATTAAGAAGGAATGAGGGGCTGGGGATGTAGCTCAGTTGGTAGAGTGCTTGCCTCGCATGCACAAGGCCCTGGGTTCGATCCCCAGCACCACACACACACACACACACACACACACACCAAAAAAAAAAAAAAAAAAAACGAATGAAAGCTGGGTATGGTGACAGTGCTTGTAATCCTAGTGACTTGTGAGACTCAGGCAGGAGGCCAGTCCAGGCAACTTAGTGAGACCCTGTCTCAAACAGTTAACAAGTGCTGGGATATAGCTCAGTGGTAGAACACTCCTGGGTTTCAATCCCTACTATAAAATAATAACAATAATAATTGAATTAGAAGAAAACTCTTAATTGGCTGGTTTTAAAGGAGCAACCTGGCTATAGGGGCTGCATTTTGAAGGCTAGGTAGAGCTTCCATAATTGGACATGTATACATAGAAAGGTCAGTGTAGGGAAGTCTGCACCCTGAGCAAAGGCCACAGGGTGGAAGGTATGATGGGGGAGTCAGGGGTTTAGTTAGCTGGAGTATAAGGCCCATAATGAGGGATGCCATGCTACAGACACTCCCCTTCCCGGAACAGTGGCTTTAAGGCAACTGGGCTTGTTTATCATGCAGAATAAATCTGGTGCCAGGCATTTGGGGACTTGGTGTGGTGGTTCTGTGGTGGTGGCCTCTGCCTTCACAGCTGTGTTCCAGGCAGGAAGAGGGAGCTGGGGAGAAGGGCAGAAAGTGGCTGCCTCCTAAGGTAGTCCTCTTTCCTGCAAGTTCTATCCACCAACTCCTGCCTGTCTCCCGCTGGCCAGAACACAGCCACGCAGCCACCCTAAGCTGTAATAAGCTGGAAGTGAAGTTTGCCAGATGGGACATTGCCTCCCAGAGGTCTGTTTAGAAGGAGAAAGGGGGAAACTAGTATTTGGTGGACAACTAAGTGCCTTGTGCAAGGTCAGAGTTTTAGGGGCCCTTGAAGGCCAGGCCATGGAGTCAGCCTGCAGCCGTGAAGCGGCAGGAAGCCAGGGCTGGACTGTTGGAACTGCTCGTCACATCCCTCTAGGGCTCAGGGGAATGAAAGCAGCACAGGAGAGGAAGCTGGAAGCAGCCTGAGCTTCCACCCTCGGGAGGGGCTCCATGAGCCCTGGAGGTGACTTGCAGGCCAGAAACCAGGACCATCGCAGGACCCTCTCAGTGAGAGAGAAAAGGAAGTTGAGAAATGGGGTAGTACGGTGCCACTATTTATGGCCCCAGCTCCTCCCTGAGGCAATACTCTGTTTTCTACAGGGCATCTTACCAAAAAAAGGCCTGCAAATTTGGATGTGGAACTTGTATCAAGGTTTGGGAAAAGGCTTAGAATCATGGGGGAGGGAAGTGAAGGGTAAAATCAAAAACTGCATGTTTCAAATGAACAAAAATTAGTTTTGAGCCAGGTGAGGTGGTGCATGCCTGTAATCCCAGCAGCTCAGGAAGCTGAGGCAGGAGGATCTTGAGCAATTTAGCGAGGCCCTAAGAAACTTAGTGAGACTCTGTCTCTAAAATAAAATACAAAAATGGTCTGGGGATGTGGCTCAGAGGTTAAATGTCCCTGGGTTTAATCCCTGGTACCCCCCCAAAAAAAATTAGTTTTGATACATGACTTCACCTATGAAACCATCAGCACAACCAGTCATTTGGGCTTCTCTAACATGCCCTGCAACCGTCCTCCTTGACTTCTCATTTCCCAAGTAGCTGCTGATCTGCTCTTTTATCACTAGAGATTAATTTGCAAGTTCTATAATTTTATAGAGGTGGGATCATTTAGTATGCACCCTTTTTTTTTTTTAGCTTAGTTTTTTGTAATTTATCCATGTTACTCTGTATAGTGATGGTCCCCAGAGCTGCAGATTCAGTCAACCTGGGGTGGAAGATATATGGAAAGAAAAAAGTACATCTGAACTCAGTGTGTTACCACCCCCAACTCGTCATTATTTCCTGAGCAATACCACATGACAGCTACTTCCATAGCATTTACATTGCATTAAACATATAAGCAACCTGGAGATGATTTAAAGCATAAGAAGGAGGTTACATGCAAATGCTGTGCCATTTATGCAGGGTACTTCTGCATCTGCAGATTTCAGTTTCTGCAGGGGGTCCTGGAATCAATCTCCTGTGGGTACGAGGAACAGGTGGATCAGCTGTGCCTTTTTATGCAGAATCCTTCCATCATATGAATGAGGCACAGTTTGTCCATTCACCTGTTGATGGACTTTTGGGTTACTTCCAGTTTTTGAGCATTAGCAATGAAGCATGTTTTCAGTTCCCCTGGGTAAATGACCTGGAGCAGCATGGCAGGGTCATATGGTAGGTGTGTGTTAAGAAACCGCCAAATGCTAAGGCTTTTGTCTGCTCTGCATTCTTGCTGAGCCTTGGTCTGCTCAGTTTTGATTTTTGCCAGCCTCTCCCTGTGGCTTTTGTGTGTATTGCCCTGATGACTAATGATCTTTTCATGTGCTTATTGACCACTTGTTTTATTTTTCTTTGGGGAAATTTCTGTTCAAACTTTTGCCCATTTTTTAATTGGGTTGTTGGACTTACTATTATTGAGTCATAGAGTTTAGTTTGCTTGTTTTCCTGTGCTGGGAGTGAACAGAGGGCTTCGTCACTGTAGGCAAGCACTCTACCACTGAGCTGCGTCCCCAGTCCAGGATCCAGAGTTCTTTTATTTTGGATTTCATTTCTTGTCTAATGTATGTGTGATGAATCCTCTCAGCCAGTGTGGGCCTTGGCTTTTCTTTTTCTCCAACCCCCTCTCCCCCCAGTTCTGGGGATAGAAACTAGGGCCTCACACATGCTCAGTGCTCTCCCACTGAGCTACACCACCAGACCTTTTAAAATAGTGTCTTGAGGTACAAAAGTTTTGACTTCAGTGAAGTCAAAAGTATCATTTGTTTGCTTTTGTGTTTTGTACTTTTTGTGTATGATCTAAGAAACCTTTGTCTACCTCCAAGTTTGCAGAGATTTTTTTTACCCCTTTGTATTTTTGCATGACAATGTAGGCATGATTACTTCTTTATTTTATTTATTTATTTATTTAAAAATAAAAAATAGGAGTTTTATTGAATTCTTCAAATTACTACTCCATGTTTTTCTTCTTGGTGGAAGTTTTTAATCAACCATTCATAATTTGACCAAAAAAAAGATATTTTGTGAATGTGTCATAGACACATGGAAAAGAACCCTACTTTTGTAGAGGACTTAAATATGAATAAAGTCATGAGTTTTTCAGTAAATCTCCACTGGGTTTTCTGGTAATTTTACAAAAATAAGCCCATCAATGTCCATGAAAAATGGACTAGATAGATAGATGATATTTCAGTTTATCCATAATTTCACTCATCTTGCTGTCTGGAATTAACATCACAGTTCGCAAGGGCTTCAATGGTATATCATCAAAAGACCACCTGCCTCCCAGGCAAGTGTCGCTCTCCTCTTGCACTGAGTAGTTGAACTTCAGGACTGCCTTCTCATAAAAAAACTCTTCCTCTGCATTTACAAACATTAATTCATCCTTCTGGTTGCTCCATTTCTTTTTGGAATTGGATTTTCCTGCTTCCACAAATGTCTTACTAATCAGAAGGTAGAAAGAACACTTCCCACATGGCTTATTAGTTTTGTGTGACTCTACTAGTTCTTTCTGAAGCTGCTGGTGCATGGGCAGAGCAATCTGAAGAGGGACATTAATGAATCTTTCACTTAGGAGAAAGCCCACAGGCTTGGTGGTGTCATTTAAAAGCTTGTCCAGCTGTTCAACCACACTCTTTTCACAGTTCTTCTCACAGAAGCTTAGAACCAACTCTTTAATTTGTTCAGCACACTGGGTACCCTTTCTTTCAGTTAAATTTAAAAGGTTTATGAAACCAAAAATTTCATCTTCATCTGCATCATCATCATCGCTGTCTTCTGAAACATTTGTTTGCTTAATCACACTTCCAATATGGTTCTGTTGAATTAAGAGATCTGTTAGTTCTGCAGTGTTCACAGGAGCCTTTAGGAAAAGCTGCTGCAGTAATTTCTTAATTCCATCATAATCATTATCTGAGATGGAATAAGCTTCAAATTCAATATTCACTTCCTCATCAAGGACCTCGTCTTCGTCCTCTTCTTCGTCACTATCCTCATCGTCTTCGTCTTCATCCTCGACTTCATCCTCCCCTTCTTCTTCGTCGTGCCGGATGGGGTCTCCGGGAGGCCACGGGGCTCCGTTCCCCAAGGCCCGTCGTTTGGCCCGGGACACCATGCTGCCGTTCCTCTTTCTTTATTTTAAAAAAATATTTTTTAGTTGTCATTGGGTCTTTATTTTATTAATTTATATGTGGTGCTGAGAATCTAACCCAGTCCTTCACATATGCTAGGCGAGCACTCTACCACTGAACCCAACCCCAGCTCACATGATTATTTCTTTTAAGTTGCTGAGGCTGGCCTCAAATTTGCAATCCTCTTGCCTTAGCCTCTTGAGTCAGTGGGATTACAGGCATGTGCTACTGCACCTGACACATGAATACTTTTTAAATTTAAAATTTACTTTTTGAAAGTGTGAACGATCTTATAAAAATAGATATTAAAGACTGCATATTATATGATTTCTCCCCCACCTTTTTTTGGGGGGCTGGTTTGGGGATCCACCCCAGGGCCCTGCTGAATAAACATGTGCTCTCCCACTGAGCTGCACCCTCCAGCCCTGTGTGATCACAGTTGGACAAAGCACAGCAATGAGGAAGATCTGTGTCAGGACAGAGGTCATTCTGGAGAAGGGACACTGCCTGGGAGGTGTTTCTGGGGAGCTGGGAGTTTTTATTTTCTTGATTTGGGTCCTGGTTTTGTGTGTGGGGGGTTCAGTTTGTGGAAAATGTATCTGTTACAAATTTTAAATTACTTACTTTCTAGGACTGTGTGCAGCTGAATCAGTACACATTGAAGGATGAAATTGGAAAGGTAAATACCCCAGGAGTTGGGCTGTCTTTCCACCTTGACCAGGGACATTTCAGACACTGTGGAAGGAGTTTATTGGAGCTGGGAGTGGAGAGAGGAGTCTTTGGAGGCAAGGCTGAGGGGGCGTCTAGTAATAGGAGCAACCAACTGGACCGAGAAAAGATGGCTCCCGTCATTTATTTAAGGGGGTACAGCAAAGGCAGGGATAAGGTTTCAAGAGCGGAGTCTTGCCTGTGATGTCTCAGTCTAGTGTATTTTTTTAATGGTCTAGTATTTCTATTTTTGTATATTAAAATTAAATGTTTCTGCAAAAGCTCAGAAAGCTTCCAGAGCAATGCCATATTGCTGTACTGATCGTATGCATCCATTAGTAGATTTTTTTCCCCCTGAAGTTACTCTCACATCTGTATTTTTCTTTTGTTTCAGCCAAAGAACAGTATTATTACTGGGTCAAAAGCCCAAATGCCAGAAGAGAATAAGTCAGTAATATAAGTGGGCGTGGATGCGAGATGGAAGATACTAGAGAGCAGTGAGGACTGTGGCAAAGCATTAAATTATGGAAATGAGGGTTCCTGAGCAAGGCAGGCTAGGTATGAAAGTAGGGAATAGTGAAATCAATGGTGAACATTAGAGAAATGATATCTACATGTGGTTAGACCTCCCAGCTTTTTTCAAAAGAAGCCAGAAATGTGGGTTTTTAATATCAAATCTTTTCAAATATTGTCAACTAAATTCAAACTTTGTAGAAACTGCAGATCCAACAAAATACAGTTTCAGGGCACATTTGACCAATAGGCAGTGGTTTGCAGCCTGTGTGTCAGGGTCCTCATTGTGCAGCTGTATCACGGGCATCTCCCTTTATCCAGGGCTCCTATGGCGTGGTCAAGCTGGCCTACAATGAGAACGACAACACGTACTATGTGAGTACCCACACTCCCCTCCCCGGGCCCCTCCTGATCCAAAGCAAAGCTCACTTTCCTGGAAGATGGACAGATCTGTGGACTCATCTTCGTAGCACCTCAGGGAGGAAGCAGGGTGCCCGTTGGACAGAGGGCAAGATGGGAAGGTGAAGTAATGCAGCTTCTGCCTCCTCCGTGGCACTGAGAAAAGGGCAGTAGCTGGGCGAATTGCCCCTGTGGAGGTGGTCCAATGTGGGTTCACACCTGGCTCTAGCGGGTGCCAAGTATGTGCCCTTGGCAAGGGGTGCTCCTTGGCACCTCAGTTCCCCTGTGTAGAGCATCCAGTGACGTCCTTCCTCAGCCCTCTTCACCATCCCTGCAGCCCACTCACGTTTGGATTCAGGGGCAGAGAGTCAAAGGCTTGGGGTTTTCAAGCTGTGTTCCAGGTCCAGCCTCCTTGGAACCCAGGGATGCTTGGCCCCTGTGTTGATGGGGAGCTCACTGCCTTGTCCTGAGGCTGTCGTGGTGCCAGGAGGTCCGCCAGGCCTGGGGTGGAGGGAGGCTTTCCTCACATTTGCTCCTTGCTGCTTTAACTGGACCTGGGGCCTTTCTTCTGCAGGCGATGAAAGTGCTGTCCAAGAAGAAGCTGATCCGACAGGCTGGCTTTCCACGTGAGTGCGGTGGGCGGGGCCTTCACCCTGTGTGCTGCTGGGGCAAGGAAGGACAGAGCCCAAGTATGGTGTCCCCTCCCTCCCCAGAGCTTCCCCCTGAGGACAGTGCCAGGCCTCCTGCGGACATTCTGTGTTCACTTTCATTTAAGAATATTTACTGAAGTGACGCAGGTGTTGTTCCCGTGAGCTTTTCTATACTGTGGCGTGATGGGTGCTTTGTTGCTGAGTCTTCACCAGCATTAACTGCAGGGCCCCTGGTGGCAGCAGCTGCTCCTGCCCTGCTAAGTGCTTCTACCTTTGCCCCCCCCCCCCCCCCCCCCCCCCCCCCCCCCGCAGCTGCCCTCTGCAGGGGGGAGTCTCTCTGCCCTGACCTGGGCGGCCTTTGTGTCTCCTGCAGGTCGCCCCCCACCCCGAGGCACCCGTCCTGCCCCTGGAGGTTGCATCCAGCCCCGGGGCCCCATTGAGCAGGTGTACCAGGAAATCGCCATCCTGAAGAAACTGGACCACCCCAATGTGGTGAAGCTGGTGGAGGTGAGGTGGGGTGGGGTGTGGAGGATGGAGGCATGGAGGTCTGGCCTTGCTTTGTGAATACCCAGATGCTTCGAAGCCACTGGTTTCCAGGGAGAGCCAGGTCGCACCACCTGGCGCTGCAGAGCCAAGTGGTCTTTTGCTTCAGGCTCCCTAACTGTTGTTACTTTGTGTCACTGTCACCCCTCCTTATTCCCATTTTACAGATGGAGACGTTGAGGTCCAGAGCCACTCAGGTTTGCCTTCGCTCACTCCTGTGGGTGGTTGTGGTACAGAAGCAGACACACATGTGCTATAAATTCCAAGAAAACCTTATTTACAAAAACAGATTCAGGCTGCATTTGGCCTGCAGGCTGACCTTTGCCAACCCCTGCTGCAGTCAGCAGTATTTACAATCTTAATCTCAAGACTCCTTTATGCTCTTATTTTTTTTTAAATATTTTTTTAGTTGTTGATGGACCTTTATTTTATTCATTTACTCATATGTGGTGCTGAGAATCGAACCCAGTGCCTCACACATGCTAGGCAAGCGCTCTACCACTGAGCCACAACCCCAGCCCTCCTTTATGCTCTTAAAGATGATTGAAAGGCCCAAATCACTGTGGCCTATGTAGGTTATATTTATTCATATTACTTCTAAGAATATAAACTGAGACATTTAAAAATTATTGATTGATTGATTTAAAAACAGCAGTAATCTTGCCATATGCTCTGGTGCATGCCTGTAATCCCAGCAACTTGGGAGGCTGAGGCAGGAGGATTACAAGGTTGAGGCCCCTGGGGAGCACATCCCTGCCTTTGGTGTGTGGGAGGCCACTGCCATACCTTGTCCGGGACCTACAGACCCTAAACCCTAGGTGGGCAAGGCCCGGGTCTGACTTGCCCACAGGGAGGGGCGCAGGGCTCCAGATGGGCAGCCCAGCTCTGCCTGGGTGCACACCTTTCCCAAGCCTGTTGGTGATTCTTGGGTGGCTGGAGAATGTGGGAAGAGGTGGGAGGCCTAGTCTGTCCAAGGAGAGAAATGGCAGCTGCAGGTCACTCCCTCCATCATGGCTGCCAAGCTTCATGCTCTCGACTCCCTGATGCTGGAATTGGCCATCTTAGAGGAAGTTCCAGGGGCAGTTGGTTTGCAAGTGGCCCTGAGTCCTGCAAAGTCTCCCTTCTCCCTAGTGTCCTGTGGTATCTGGTCTCTCTGCCCAACAAGATTCTGCCGTTCTGTTGGCTTGTTTATTCCCGAGGTGTCTCTGAGCACCTCCCGTGTGCCCAGCCCTGCCTCAGACACCACTGACATAATGGAGGTGGTTACCCCTGTGCTGTCCATTGGTGAGAGGCAGTTCTGGACAGGGAAATGTCATTTCCTGCTGGGGTAGGGAGGGACAAGGCCACCTCATGGAGGTGCCACTAGTGCCAGATGGGCTCTGAATTTCATCTTGAAGACCAGTCCGTGTCTCTCCTTGGAGATGGGCTGGATTCTTACCCACATGTGCCAGAGGAGGCTTTGCCTCTCCCTGTGGTCACCTCCTTTCTGGGAAACCTCGAGGACTGGGCTGGGGGTGCTTACTTTCCACTCTTTGGATCTTGCGCTCTGAGGAGTCCTCCTGGGCCTTCCATCTTAATTAGGAAGAGGGGACCCTCCCATGCCTCCTCCCTGCTCATGTCGGTTCTCTCTGTCCTCTCCTCTGCTTCGTGTCCTGGCCTGTTCCTGGTGGCTGTGCCAATAGGTCCTGGATGACCCCAATGAGGACCATCTGTACATGGGTAAGAGACCCCTCTCCTTCTGCTGCTCTCAGGCAGCTGCACCTGCCAGTGTCCAGGGGTCCTTTCAAGGCAGCCAGTGCCCAGCCATGGCCCAGGGACATCTGACCAAAGGCAGCTTCTCCTTTCCTGGTCCGGCTGGGCCCCACAGTGAGCCCTACAGAAGGCCACACCCCGAGTTCAAAGCGAAGCTGTCGTAGTCAGGGAAGATAGTGTAGAGAGAGTGGTGGGCAGGCCACCTCAGGTAGGAGATGACCGCTCAGCATTTGAGTGTCAAGGACACAGCCCTGTTACCTTTGGAGAATGGCATTCCAGACTGAGGGACCAGCCATGGGAAGGCCCTGAGGCTTCAGGAGATTAATATTGTTCAAGGAAAACGTAGAGCAGGGAGAGGCCAGGGCGGGACACCTGGGTCCTTAGCCAGGGGCAACAAAGGTTTTGAGCACTGGACATAG